TAAAGAAGCCGATCGTCGAGCGTTTGAGACTCCTCCGGAAGGATGTTCTTGATCCTTTTCAGCCCCTGTCGACAAGTCTTGCCTGTGTATCTAGCTACCAGAATAAGTGCCCTCTGTCCTGCATTCCATATCCTATGAAAGAAGACCGCGGCTGCGTAAACATGCTTCCATTTAAAAGACGCAAAGAAGACGAGGTATTCAACATGACGGCAGTCAGGCCCAGGCTGGCATCTCTCGCCTGTCTTCAGTGATGTCGCAGACCACTGACCCAGCTACAAAGCCAAGGCTGTTAGGATGCTGCGAATGGTTCAGGGTTGTATCAAACCAGCTGGGCATCTTGCGATACGCTTCAGCGGCTATTTCCAGTGCTGGCTGACAAGATGTGACGAAATTCCGAGTGCTTTTCAATGTGGTACGTCACGTATGCATTGGAGTTTCCTTGTACATGAAAAAGCTATCCAACAGCAAACAATATCTTTTCAATATACAACGTGTATGTTGCAGTCTTCCAGAAACCGATTTGAATTCCCGCACTTCCTCAACGTCACTGTCAAATCTAGCCAGGCTAGGCTCTGGCGCCTAGGCAGGGAGAGTATAACAGCTAACGAGAAATCGTTCACGCTACAGTTGACGCACTCAAACTGAATTTGAACCGGAATGCCACCTCGTTTCGGTCGATGCGTCAAGGTCTACACACTACAAGGTAGCTTCGTACCAAATGAGCCATAGAAAGTTTCTTCACATGCGTTATAGAGGCAGCAGTCCATCCGTTTTAATATCAAGATAGCAACTTCAGGTTGAATGCTTCAAACCAGTAAAAGTAGATCCTAGTTTAACTAGCAACCGTGACATGGCCTTGCTTATATATTGCTCGTCGTAGAGACCAGCTTCTCTATCAAGTATCAAATTCCTACACCATGTCAAGACATCCTACGTTTCCATCACAACCCTGCTCATCCTGCACAACTGACTTGCCTCATCACAAACATGAATTTCACGAGAAACGAGTGTCAAAGCCGAGGTCAAGACCAAAAGTCTAAGGCCGTTCTATTCCAGCCCCTCCGAAAAAAAAAGCCCGCGAAGCCGTATTTTACATCTTACAAGAGATCTCATCCCCAATCCTCGAAAACAACTTCTCGTTCTTTAGGCACCAGCAACCACCGCCAGACCGTCGTAAATCATCCGCTTGACCTCGTAGAACGTGCTCCGGTGCTGCATCATCGTTGCCGCGTCCGTGATGCCCACGCTCTCCACCTCCACCTTGCCCGTGCTCGTCTTTCGCACCGCCACGGCCCCGTTGATGACGAGCGTGCCCTCGCCTCTGAACTCGGCCGTGTACCCCGCAGACTGCATCGCCCTCCGCAGGTCCGTGAGTCTGAGGTCGCCGACATGCAGCGGCTGCGCGACCGAGCGTACAGCCGAGGCCATGTTCATCGGCAGCAGGTCCAGCGTCGGCACGACTTCGACCTCGGCGTCGGCGTCTTCCTGGGCCGCATCGGCATCCTCCGCCTCCGTCTTCTGCCGCTTGTTGGCCCCGTCGTCCTTCTCCGCCAGCTTCTCCTTTGCCAGAGCTTCCGCTACGAGCTGGCCTGTGATTGTGACGATGCTGAGGCCGCGCACGTTTTGCCACTTGAGCTTCTTCACCAGGCTGTCCGTCAGCTTAACCACCCAGGCATTGGTATCGACACTAGCGTCCACCCAGGTGCCCATGGACGGGGTGAACACGTCGACGACGCTTTCTTCTGAGGCGCCGAGTTGCGCAGCGAGAGCCTTCTTGCAGTCTGTCGCAAGCGCTGTGGTCTCCTCCGTCGTACCGCCGACCAGAATCAGCTTTCTAGGCTGGATCAGTGGTATAAGCATGTTCAAACTCCTCTTGTCGTGTAGACCGCTGAAGTCGACAAAGGCGATGCGGAGATTGACCGAGACCTTTTCTGAGGATAGAATTAACTTAGATGGGCCTTGGATCTCTTCCTCGACAGTGTCTTCCACATCATCCAGCTCATCAGCCACATGATCCTCGCTTGCCGTGCCATCCTGGTCGTCTCCAGCTGTCTTTGCATTTTGGCGTTTATTGGCGCCCTTGGTGCTTGCATCATCCCATTTGCGTTTCTTTCCTAGTCGGTCCTCGTCATTGTCGCCACGCATTTCGGTGTCTGGTACATCTTCCTCCTTTTCCTCAGCTCGGAGGTAGTCTTCAGGGCGAATAACATCTCCAAACTGGTCGTCACGCCTCCTGCGCATGACCAAGGGGAAAGAACGTTCACGGCCCTTTTTACCTCGCACATCAAAGTCATAAGCACCACGCTTCTTTGTCAGAATGTTGATGCCCAGATCCTCGTCCGTTAGCACAACCTTCTTTCGTGTCGCCTGGCCCATGGTTGTTGAGATGTTGAGAGCCTTTCCCTGCTGCTCATTATCGGATTCGCCAGAGTCTGAGGAGGATTCTGATGAAACGTCATCAGCTGCATCTGCCGGTGCCTGTAATGATGCTCCACCACCGCTTTGCAGAGTGGCCTGAAGCTGTCGTTGCGTTGCTAGCCACTGCTGGTAAACGGTCAATTCGTCTCCTTCGAGGGCCTGTCTCTTGGCCTCCTGAATCTCCAGCTCTCGCCCGCCGCCGTACACAAACTCGATGCTGTCGCCGCTGCTTGTCTGCTCTACCGTGGCACCATCTTGACGTTCTGTCCACCAATCCCACAAAGTTCTTGCTATTGATGGCTGTTCCGCTCGAGATTTTGGCGGCTTGTCTGTCAAGACGACGAGGTTTCTGGAGTCTTTCGCCAGACCCTTGATCAAGTCCTTAGAGAAGCCCCATTCCAAAGTGTCGTCGCTCGCAAGAATGACTCTGCCTTCTGATTGGACATTGCCGCCACTGCTAGAGAGCAGCTTCTCGATCTGCGCTCGACGCTCCACCAGCTTGAGATACCTGAAATCAAAGGGTACAGCCTCCTTGGTCTTCCCGTCAGCGCCGTTTGCTTTGCGCTGACCGTCAGCAACTGATTCGAACTCCCGGACAATATTGTCGTCCATCCACTCCAGCATGCTTCGCGCATACCGGAGCGTACTTGACATATTCCGTCCAGCGAGGTAGAGCTTGGCTGCCTTTAGAGAACTGTCATCAGTCTCGGAGTCGACCTGCCATGTGTGCTCGAGCAGATACGCGATTTCCAAAACACGAGCGCTTGAATCGACGGGGATGAGGCATGTGCCTCCTCGACTGACGCAAAGCTTGATCATGTCGACCAGCTGCTCGTCACGCTTTGCGCGACCGCCTGCCTGGGCAACCTTCTCCGCACCACGACTGCTGCAAACCAGTGCGGTAGGCTTGCGTAGTTGCTCGATAACCTCCGCACCGCCACCTCCCGCTCCTCCTAGCCATGCGGCACCGGCATAGACATTCTCTCTTGCCTGGTTCCAATCCACCGCATAAACAATTGACTCCAAGCCATGCTGAATGTGCCATATTGTTCCTCCCAAGCTGTGGCCCGCATTATATGCAGTGATCATAAGACCATTGAGGGGCGGAGAGAACGGGGACGGCAGCGGTTCGTGAGGTTGTGAATACTTGAGAGGTTGGATAAGGGAGAAGTATCGCGTGATTTCTTCAGGGGTCGGCGCTTGCAGGAGAAAATCGCTGTCGCCGGTCGGTTGCTGGGAGTAGGAGTAAGCGGCCTCGCTGAGGGAACCGTGAGGGATCTTGGTCGCAGCCAGAGGGGTCGATGCGTAGAGGTCTTGGGTGAGGGTGCGACCCAGGTCGATGACAGGGCGAGTCGCGTACACGGGAATGCGCGTAAATAGAGGAAAGTTCTTGCAGCAGTGTGCGAACGCAGCGAGATGCGACGTCGTGGCGTGGGTCAGGAGGATAATGGACAGCGTCGGGACCTGTCTGTAGGCATGTATTAGTATCTTGAAGCGCATTCAATCGGCAGAGGGTACGGTACTTTTCGAGCTCCCGCAGCTTCTCAACATCGAAAGATTCGTCCCATCCGAGATCGATCAGGATCTTGACACCTCCATCGAGCTCGAGAATAGACTGCGACGCCGACGACTCGGAAAGAGCGCCCTGGAGGGGGCAGAAGGTAAACATGTTTGCTGTTTATGGCCGAGGGTCGTGATGCATCGTCCAGTGTCTGACTGCGACCGATGATGGCAAATAGTATTTCGAGTGATCTTCGTCAAGCAATAACCATGTTGCTGGCGCAGCGACCAGGACGAACGATTGCGTGTCGTAGTCGGATAGCGAGCTGCGAGTCGAGGTTTGACTGTCGCGTAAAAGAATCCAGGATCATGAGAACCGGGTGCTGCAAGACGCGGTACGTACCTAGAACCTTGCCAGGCACCGTGTGGTCTGGTCTTCAATGCGAAGAGCAGGTGCAGGGGCCACGGAAGCTCCAGCAAGAGATCCGTCACTGTGGGGCCGGCCCTGCTGAGATCGGAGCGGCGGTGAGTTCTTCCGCTCCCAGTCCGGTCTAGCTCAGGCAAGCTGCATAAAGTGGGGTCCTCTTGCAAGTGGCAGGTGCAACGGGGGGCAGATGAAGCTCCCGCATTGGATGGAAAAGTTCCAGGCTGGCCCCTCGGTGCCGCTGCTCATCGGTCTGGAAAAACGCATCGGAAAGTTATCGTGTCAATTTGGTCCAGATCCCTGTCGATACGTGGTCAACAAGCGTGTTGCTGCAAAGGGGACACAATTCGAGCCGTCACTTTACTTTTTTTTTTATTTGGTCAAGTCGGCTGGCCCTCGAACGACGACATTTCTCGACAGTTCCCAGAGAATGGCGCACTCTTGAATGCGTGCGCACATATCGACAATCTCTCCGCGAAGCTCCCTTTCGATTCCCAACTACAACCGGGCACCATAGCTTCAACTACAGCTCAGCTACATACTCCTCCATCAGTAGCTGCCCACACCTAATACGATCCTTCCGACCACGAGCATCGAGAACGATTCCTAGGATCACGCCAACCCCCGAGCAGTCGAGCATCGCACACCTCCTACAATCATGTCCGACTTCAGCACATATCACCACCTGGGCCAGGGCGAGCAGGACCCCTCGAACCCGAACCGATCGACACAGCCCGCACCTCCCCAGTTCTCCCCTCCCATCGCGGGGCAGCCATACCAGCAGGGCGCTCCCTACGGAGCCCCTCCCGCGCCGGGACGGCAATACTACGGCGGCCAACCGCCCATGCCTGGCTCGGCGCAGCCTCAAGGCTCACCGTACGGCGCTCCTCAAGGTCAGCCCTACGCCCAGAGCCCCGGATTCCAGTCCCAAGAGAACTTGGCGGCGCAGATGGGTGGCATGTCTTTGGGCCCCGGCGACGGCCACAACACTCTGAGGAAGAAGAAGAAGGATCGCCATGCATACCACCAGGTCGAGGCCACAGGGTCCTCGCAAGCTTTCAACGGCATGCCTCCCCCCGGTACCCCGGCCACGGCCTTCTTGAATGCCGATCCCTCGCAGGCCCAATATGTCAACCCCCAGATTACCCCTGCGATGAATCAATTCCCGGCCGCCGCTGGCCAAACCTTCACCCCCGGTATCCCCGCGACCCAGGCCGAATTTGCGACCCGGAACGGCGCCGATGCCGGTGGACCCCCGGCCGTCGTCCAGACCGGCGGACACCAGAAGCTCTCTCTCGATGACCTACCGAGTGTACCCGTGTCCCGCGATTCCCTCCAGCAACACTACTTCTCGAATGTTTACCCCACCTTCGAGAAGCACCTGCCTCCCCCAGCTACCGTCTCCTACGTTGCTTTCGATCAGGGCAATGCCTCGCCGAAATTCGCTCGCCTGACGTTGAACAGCATTCCCGCGAGTGCCGAGGGGCTCGCACTGACCGGCCTTCCCATGGGCCTGCTCCTCCAGCCACTGGCACCCCTGCAGCCCGGTGAACTCGAGATTCCCGTCCTCGACTTTGGCGAGTCTGGCCCCCCGAGATGTCGCCGCTGCAGAGCTTACATCAACCCCTTCATGATGTTCCGGTCCGGCGGCAATAAGTTCGTTTGCAACCTGTGCACATACCCCAATGATACCCCGTCCGAATACTTCTCCGCCCTCACCCCTCAGGGTGTAAGAGTAGACCGCGACCAGCGTCCCGAGCTTACCAGGGGAACCGTCGAGTTCGTTGTACCTAAGGAGTACTGGACCAAGGAGCCTACAGGCCTCCGCTGGCTGTTTGTGATTGACGTCACCCAGGAGTCTTTCAACAAGGGATTTATCGAGTCCTTCTGCGAAGGCGTTCTCGCGGCGCTCTACGGTGGCGAGGATGCTGAGCGGGACGAGAATGGCGAGCCAAAGCGTGTAATCCCCGAGGGTGCCAAGGTCGGTTTCGTGACATACGACAAGGATATTCACTTCTACAACGTCAGCGTAAGTGGCTCGTCTGTGATTTTGAAAAGCAACGCTGACAAGCGAAGCCTTCCCTGGATCAAGCTCAGATGATGATCATGCCTGATCTCGAGGACCCCTTCGTGCCCCTGAGCGACGGCCTCTTTGTTGATCCTTATGAATCCAAGTAAGCTTCCAAACTCACGGCCGCAGTGACATGACTAATAGTCTCAGGGCTGTCATCACTTCCCTGCTCACCATGCTTCCCACCATGTTCTCCAATATCAAGAATCCCGAGCCTGCTCTCCTAGCTACTCTTAACTCGGCGGTTGCCGCACTGGAGAAGACCGGCGGAAAGATTGTCTGCTCCTTGGCTGCGCTGCCCACATGGGGCCCCGGCCGTCTGTTCCTTAGGGACGACGGCAAGCACCCAGGTGGTGAGATTGACAAGAAGCTCTTCTCTACGGAACACCCGGCCTGGAAGAAGGTTGCTGAGAAGATGGTCGCCACCGGTATCGGCGCCGACTTCTTCCTCGCCTCACCATCCGGCGGTTACCTTGACATCGCAACTGTTGGCCACATCGCGGCTTCAACAGGCGGCGAAACGTTTTACTACCCCAACTTTATCGGCCAGCGCGACAACACCAAGCTGTCGATGGAGATCAAGCACGCGGTCACTCGCGAGACCGGTTTCCAGGCTCTCATGAAGGTTCGCTGCTCGAACGGGCTGCAGATTAATGGCTACCACGGCAACTTCATTCACCACACCTTCGGTGCAGACCTCGAGATTGGAGTTATCGACGCCGACAAGGCCATGGGTGTCACATTCTCTTACGATGGAAAGCTCGACTCCAAGCTGGACGCGCACTTCCAATCCGCCCTTCTCTACACCACGGCATCAGGTCAACGCAGAGTACGCTGCTCCAACATCATTGCTAGCGTCTGTGACAACCCGCGAGACTCTGTCAAGTTCATCGACCAGGACGCCGTGGTCGCTATCCTCGCCAAGGAAGCAAGCACAAAACTGGCCACCACCTCCGCGTCTCTCAAGGACGTCCGCAACCACCTCACCGAGAGGACAATCGATATCCTCTCTTGCTACCGCAAGAACTTCCTCACCGCAGCTCAGCCCGACGGCCAGCTCGTCATGCCGGAGCGCCTCAAGGAGTTCTCAATGTACATGCTCGGCCTCGTCAAGTGCCGCGCGTTCAAGGGCGGCAACGAAAGCTCCGACCGCAGGGTACACGAGATGCGCATGATCCGCTCCATGGGCGCCATGGAACTCAGCCTCTACCTCTACCCGCGCATGATCCCCGTCCACAACCTCGCACCCGAGGAAGGCTTCCCCGACGAGTCAGGCCACCTCAAGGTGCCCCCCGCCATCAGGACGTCCTTCTCCCGCGTCGAGCCCGGCGGCGTTTACCTTGTTGATAACGGCCAGCAATGCCTCCTCTGGTTCCACGCACAGACGTCGCCGAACCTCATCGCAGACCTCTTCGGCGAGGACAAGACGACCCTCCAGAGCCTCGACGCCTACACGTCGTCGCTGCCCATGCTCCAGACGCACCTCAACGCCCAGATCCGCAACATTGTCGAGTTCCTCAAGACGATGCGCGGGTCCAAGGGCCTGGGCATTCAGCTGGCAAGGCAAGGCATCGACGGTGCTGAGTACGAGTTCGCGCGCATGCTGGTCGAGGACAGGAACAACGAGGCCCAGAGCTACGTTGACTGGCTCGTACACCTCCACAGGAGTGTGCAGCTCGAGGTATGATATTGCCCCTATCATGACCACACAAACACTTACTAACGTGACTACGTAGCTGTCCGGCCAGAGAAAGAGAGACGACCCGTTGACGGACGCCAACGCCCTAGCCGGCTTCGCTGGCCTGCGGCCTAATTACTGGTAGGAAAAAGGTTACTAAAGTGATTTGGTAGTAGTGGGCAAAAGGAGTCGGGTTGTGGCGTGGGCGTGGGCGTGGGCGATGCGGCAAGCTGTGTTTTCTTCTTCTCTCGTGCTTTTGAGCGTTTTCCAGAAATGCATATACATTTTGGTGGGCGGTGTCCAAGGGGGCCCTCGTCCCTCCGCAAAACAGTCCAAGAAAAAAAAAGAATACCTCCCCAGCTCGTGCTGAACGAACTACCCGCCGTTGGTCGAGTACGTGAACTGACACGGCCCTTTCCTCATCCATGGATCCCGCTTGGAACTTCCCGTTACAGGGCTCCTGTCTCGGTGCGCCTGGAACGCAACGGGCTTCATACCACTACTGCTCTCTTGCTTGCTTGCGTGTACGAAACCTCACTTTCGAGGCGGTGAGCAGCGCTGTACCTTTACGAAACGGGCTGTCGTGACACTGCGAAAATGAGAGGTGACACAGCACAAGTGATGCTCATATTCTCGAGACCGCGTTCTATCTAACCTCGGCACAGCTCCCAGAAGGCCCAATATTTGCCTCCCCCCTTTCGTCTTGCGCCCAGTGTTCACATGCCCTTCACTCTTGTCCAGTCGTCATGATTCTTGGATAATGCGCATCGACCGTGATGAAGATCCCTACGGCCCAACGAGTAAGACATGACAGAGAGAGATGGTGGACGCGGCGCCCCAACGTAAATCTGCCCAGGCAGCGAACGTCGTCACCGCTCCCGCCAAAGATAGTCCCAAGAACGGCGCACCGAGAGACATCTACATGAAAGGTAGCCGGGGCCTCTGTCTTTCTCAAGTGTCTATCCCAAGGGAGCGGGTGGACGAGCTGAACGGACCCAAGGGGGTGGGGGTGCCGCCTGTCATCTGATCAAACTAACTACCTGTGCCCGCCCCCTGTGCCGCCCAGTTCCTACTAACCTGGGACAAAACCAAAAGAGTCAAATCGGCGTTGTGATCAAAGAGAACCGGGGGGGTTCAGGAATAATGAGATTGTGAGATGTGATTTCTGACAGAAGATGGGGGAGTTATTCTTTTGGGAGGCATGTACGGCGCAGGCTAACCCGTTCTTCGCTGCCGGTAACGACAGATTGGGAAAGGCGGACGAGACATTTGACATGGTCTTTCGGTATGGATGAACCGCGGACTCTACCGGTTTGCCAAGCTTCACACGGCATGGGGCGGGAGGTCCTTTCTCATCCGTCATGGGTTTGATTGATTCCCTGCGCTGGGCTGGGAAAAGGATAAGTTTGGTGTTCTCTGGCTGAGACAACTTGTGGGCGTACATGAGGAACACCTCGTTCTTGCCGCCGGGTATGAGTGTTCACAACTGTGTGTGTGTGCTTTTGTTTGTTTCCCGCGAGGAAGGGTTTTCTCGCATTAGAATGGCTCATCGGGTATCCGTACATGATTGCCTTTGTTCGGCAGCGCGTGGTATAATCAGGCGAGAGACGAGTGGTCGACGTTGAATCCCAGGGCAGTGAAACATGCAGGCTGCCGCTTTTCCAACCCCCGCCCGCCAGCTCCAAGGCCAAGGCCGTGTTGAAGGGAAAGGGAAACGGGAGGAGGGGGGCGTGTGTTGTGCATGATCTGGAAGGCGGTCGATGGGAGGTGATCGACGGGTTCCCGCCTGCTGGATGGACCGGGAAAATGGGAGAGAAAGGGGGGGTGGGGGGCACGGCGATGCTGAATGTGAATCCCTGACGCAGATCGCTGCATTTGCTTTTCACCAGAGAAACAAAGAGTCGGTGTCTGTTGAGCGAGTCCCTGCGAGGCGGTCCTTCAGTGTCTCAGTGGTCTGGAACGCCGTCGTAGGGCGGGCGGGATCTTCGTCCGGGACTGGGGACATGAACTGATTCCTGGGATGCACTGCGGTCCAACATGCCAAAGTAGGAAACTTTCACGGGACGGGTGCCTTTGTGGTAGGTTGCCTGCCGAGGGCGGTGAAGAAGAGTCTTGCGTGTATGGAAGAAGAACCGCCTGGACGCGGTCGGGGAACGATTCCGCTCGACGCATTGGCCTCATGGATGGTAATTTGACCCAGAGGCGGGCTTCCGTCTCATCCTATGTCGACATCCGTCTTGACGGTTACAAGCCCTTCCCGGCCATCCAGAGAAAGGTGGCGGTCAGCTAACGGGTCGCCGGTAGGAGCCGCTCAAGGGACGAACCGCGCAGAATGCTGTCGACAGAGAGTGGCTGCAATAGCAAGTATCATAGACTCTCGAGGGCCAATCCGGAAGAGGAAACCTCATCATCAGGTGGAAAAGCAACGCCCAACTCTGAACGGCAGTCTTGTTGCACCCACTTCAACAGAAGAGGATGATGATGCCCACGGTGCTCCCTAATAGAGATAGTCCTCGCGAGCTGTCTTGGGCATCTTCACCTCGCCTCCTTGCGGGTGTGCGTGCGTGTTTGTGTAACCGACCACACCAAAGAATGGAAAGGGAGTTGGTTCAGAGGTCCCATGTCCCGCATGATTGGATGTCCGATGTAAGGGCCTGAACGAGGCTGCGTGCCCCGAGGAGCGTTGTCCTCTCCGGTTCCGCGTGGTCGGGCTCGGGTGGCGTCAGCCCGGGTCAGGGGTCGAGAAATATTCCCTCTTTTCTACACATTATGTGCCCCTTCCTTCACTCCCCTTGGCACCCGAAACCAAAAGGCCGGGATAAAGTCGTGTTTCTCTTGCTTGTTGAAAAAAAGTCCCGAAAGGTGAGAGAAAGACCCTCGATGACGGCTCGAGCCAACCCCCCCTAAAGGCCGTAAGTGAGGCCTCTTCATGTCTCGGCCGTAATGACCCGTCACACAGAAGCCTCGAAGATGCCAGCCTTCAGGTCGTGAAAACTGAAAAGTGACGGCAGCAGTCAGGATACCGTAGATTCTCTTTTCTGACTCGGCGTCCACCTAGATAGTCCTCCAGCGCCTCTTGCCTGATGTTCTGGGAGTGGGGGCCAATGCGGCAGGGGATACGCAGTGATACCTAATCATCGAGATGATCGTACACCCCTGACCAAGATCTGACATGAGGAGCAAGGATTTGTTATTTGGATTATGGGGGCCCCTGCTGTTTGGCTTGCGTCGAGGTGCATACGAAGTAATGATGAGGACACCAAGGAGCATTGTTTGCATCTAAAATCATGTCAGCTCCCGAAAAAGCAAGCATGGAATACCTTCCGACGCAGGCAAACCCTGTCGAAGATCCCGCCTGGGTGCTAGTCTTTGCTAGCCTATCATTCCGCGTCGAGGACGTCCCGTTGCCCATCATCGCTAGAGGACGCAGAATGGAGACGCATGCAAAATACTTTCTTCTCCCTTCGGGGGGGCCTTCGGGATGACTGCCCTTCGAAGGAAGCCGCGGCCTGTTGCTTGCGGACAAGGCGAGTCGTTCCTTGCTTTTTTTCGTCTGTTGTCCCGCCGCAGCACGTGCTGGGCAGATTTCGACAGGACCGAATGGGACGGGACGAATACGAACAGGCAGAGACATGCTGGTCTGCTGGCCCATTCCACCTCCACGGATTCTAGGTTTGCCGTTGACGCTAGGGCAAATTCGGCGAGATGTGGATGAACGAGTGATTGAGCCAGCTCTGATGTTGTTGGCATTGTGAAGGCCGAACGGGGCTGCCGCCAGGCGTCTGTCAAAGACTCGGTGGTCTGATGATCGAAGTTAGAATCGTAAGTTGACTTCAGCCTCACCGTGACAATGAGTCGAAGATCTCTGCACACTGGGAGCTGAACAGCCTGGTGGAAGAGACAGTGTGTTGATTCGTAGTTGTATCACTGATTGATTTGAAATATCATTTCGGAAAATGAGGCGGATGTCAGGACCGTCTCCGATTCGACGTCCCGGCAAGCTGGAGGAACGATACCTGCCCCCTGCGTCTCGTCACCCGGGGTGCGTGCCTATTAAATGCGGTTCGTAAAGAGAAAATGTGATGGAATGATCGAACAATATGTCCAAATTGAGACTCGTCTGCGAGGGGAATAGGTTTAACGTGCTGGAAATCACCAAACGCCGTCCAAGGCTCCGAGAACACACTCAATTACATAGACCCTGACCAAACTTCGCGACTCGCCAGAACGCCGCCAGCCACGACTATATCGCAGACCATGCCTACCACGATAGTGATGCAGGCTTCCGTGAAGACTGAAAACAAAAGAAACCCCAGGGAAAATCATAGATCCCTCCCAACAGACCCGTCAGGACTTGCTGTTGGCGCCCGACGTTGTAGATCTGGGGTCCCTCGAGATCGCAAGGAGCCTCAGCCCGATGTGTGCAGGAGCAGAAAAAGAAAAGAGCGTGGGCCGCTAGATTGAAAAGCTGACCAAATAACGCGGATGCTGGGCTCCCTGTCCTTTGGTTGCGAACCAATAGGAAGACCCGGACAGGGAAGCGGCTGTCTGATGGCGTACGAGTGCATGGGTCGCGAGACATACAAACACCCTTTGTTTGTATTCATCATGTCGACATGACAAGGCCGTGCCCAAAAGACAAATCTTTTCTCCCATGGTATGCTACTTCAGCCCGCCTGACGTACGTCCCAGTCTCACCGGTTCATGCTGAGTACCCACGACTGAGACAAGCAGCCCATCAGTGATGCGCCAAGAGCGTATCGGTCAAGAACCGTCCATGATCGCAGAGAAGGCGTAGCGCGGGTCGGGCTGGCTTCGGACTCGTGCGATTTCATTGGGAGCGAAGACGTCGCTGAAGATTTTGAAATCGCTCTTGTGGCCGGATGAGCTGCTGGAGCTCGACGATGACGACGAGCTACTCTTGGACTTGCTCTTCGAGCTGCTGCTGCTGCTGCCCTTACTCTTTTTGGCGATATCGTCAAGGATGCACTTGGCCGTACATTGTCGGTCGTCCTCGAAGGCAAACATGACGGCTGAGAACTGACCCCTCAACTCCGGATCGTAGAGAAAGACCTCGCGCCAGAGCTCTGCCAACTCCTTGGGCGGGTTGCGATATCCGTTGCCAAGACCAAAGTCGCCAATGAC